TTTGTTGCTAAACTTTGATAAACCAAGCCTGTTTGTTAGGATTTCTGTTCTGCTTGCTTGTACCTATTTCGTCTTTGTCAGAATTTTAACTTATAATGTGGAGTTGATAATAGTTTAGATTTATTAACTAGATAAAGTGTCATATATTGACTCCGAGAGAGAATTCTGATTCTGAAATTTGAGTACATTGCCTCTTCACTATGGAGCTTTTGATACAAGAATAAATAGATGGAAGCTCTCAAATACTGATAATGTGATTTCTTCAAAAGCGTGTGCAGTTCCGGTGAGGAGGCAAAGTCTCATTCTGCTGGATTCCCAGCCATGAGTATGGCAACGTTATTTGAAAATAACAGCTTGGTTTTCTCTCTTCCTCCAGCTGCTTCCAGTGTTTCTCCCCTCTCGTTCTGTTCTGAGCAATGGAGTATCCAATTCTGTGTCCACTTGCTGTCATTAATAAACTCTATCAGTGGGAATGGATGTCATTGCTGTGTACTGCTGTTATCTCATACTATCTGATGCTTATCCGTGGTGACTTCCACTTTTGCAGTGTTAATCCAACCAACCCTTTGCAAACCAATTTCGTGACATTTACCTCTTCTGATTGTGATTCTAATTTCTGTCGTTCATCAGAGTGGTAGCTTCAGCTGACATGGAGTAGCGCTGCATTTGTAAACTTTGGGTTGAATTTCTCTTCCCTGACCATTACAGAGTGTCTTTCACCACTAGATACTTTTTAACATCATTCTTTTTACAAATTCCAGGAGCTACAGTAGTTGTAGTGCAGGTCATGAAAACTGGCTTCCTGTTAACTTCTGCTGTGACGAAAAGTAAAAAGAAAAAGATTATCCATACTTGGCTGGAAATCTTAGTTCTAGTTGCATTACATCAAACAAATACTGTCAGGCTATAAGGCTGTCATAGCTAATACCGTATGTCTAACATGGAGAAACAGAGGATGCTAAGGCGTACCGAGTTAACGTTAAGTTTAGATGTTAGTATTCTATCATTGACTCTTATTTACAGCTTAGATTTAGTCATTAGATGTAGTTCCTACAAAAGCACAAGTACTTAAATGCATGTAAGTAAAGTAATCCCCTGTTAAAAACCACTTGATTTATTCAGGAACTTAGGGCACATCTCTAGCTTTAAATACGTCTCTTAGTCAAACATAGGCACGCATCCGCTGTTGAAATAAAGCAGGAATTCAAGAGTTGTCTCAACTTGTCAGTTTAATTTAGCAAGGTGATTCCAGGAGCCTGTAGATAATTTCAGAGTTAAAAATCTTTAATAAAATCTGATAGTTTAGAAATTTATTATGCTGTAACTTGGTAGTACGGATGCTTAGTGGTTACTTTATGACTCATGATGGTAAGTCCAGAATAGTCTCACTTTTTATTCAATTGTAATAGTTTCATCATTGTCCTGTGTTGGTCTTTACTTTTGACTTTTTAGAACCTTAATAATGGTTTCCCTTACCAAAAAAAAACAACAAACAAAAAAAGAAAACCCTAAAAGGCATATAAGAAGAATAAAAACCCCTGAAAATATTTCCTTGAAAATATTGTCTTGGGCGAGAAGGTCAAGTTTCAATGCAGCCACATCTGGTTCGTCCTTTTTATATTACTTTTTATTTGCTGCTTAGGATTCCTCCTACTGTTTGACAGCTTTGCATGAAATGTGGGAAATTAGGAAAGATAAAGCTGTGGAAAGTGGAGAGTAGTCCTTACTCTAATCCCGGAGGGAAAAAAAAAAAAAAAAAGAAAAGAAAAGAATTGGGAAAATAGAGCTGATCTACTTAATTTTCCTCAGTCAGGAAAAATTAGAATATTTACATTTTAAACATGCTTACTTGAAAGTTGTGTAATTTTAGGGGGAGGGGGAATTCTTTAGTTATCTGTGCAATACATAGTAGTAAATGATAGCACTTTTCATAAATATTTGGAAGAAGTAATAGTTTTCGTAGAAAATAAAGCCACCTGTTTTCATGAATGGAATTGGACATGTGGGGCATCTTTTGTTTTTAAAATGAATACCCCTTATACACAAGGCAAAATGACCATGATGATGTATTAAGTAATAAATGAGAAGGAATAGTACTTTCTGAACCTTTTTCAAATAATCAGCCTTTTTAATTTGTGATGTGGAAAAGAGTTATGAGTAAAAGTTTGACTATATTGAGTGGTTTATTTACCATGTATTCCACAGTTTAGCAAGAGATTGCAAATTTAGTGTAAAACTTATCTATGCCTGTGTGCTTCACTCTTTCATTCCCAATAAGTCGAATTAAGTTGATTCTTATTGGGTGTTGTAAATTCCTTTTGAAAAATAACTTCATGAGTGCCAGTAAGAAATGTACATTAAATTGATTTAACTCAACGTTTTCTGCTTGCTTATTTGAATTTGATTAAAGTCAATCAACCCTATTACATTTATTGCATAAAGTTAAGCAACTCGTACAAGTGTTAGGAGGATAGGGACCTGGTAGCGTCTCATCTTGTGATAAGAGAGTTCTTAAGGTTTGTTAGTATGGTTATTGAGACATAATACAGTTATTGACCAAAAGGTCTTTACTAATTTTCAGGGATTAAAGTCCAGGGGTTAATTTTGCAGGGTCCAAACTTCATGGAGTACAAAGTAGGTAGAAATAAAAAATATAGCAGTTGAATGTGCTACAGTGTGTTCCAAATTCTTAACCCTGTGGGTGAAAGCTATGTGTGGTACACTGAATAAATAAAATGATGACTGTATAAATCAAATACATGATAGAACTCAAGTAGTTTTCAGGGTGTGCGCTTTATTTGGTAAACATAACAATATAAACACTGTATTTTTCCCAAGACCAAAGGTTTGCTCACTTGCTTGGTATCAAAGCCAATAGATTAGAATAATGAAATACAATTCATTTACTTAAACTAAGGTGTTCCATGATACTTACACAACCATGAACTGAACCTGTATCTGTGTTTTTAGAGTGTATTTGTCAGGTGATAAGTACAGTCTGATGCATATTAAAAATAAGACAGCTAAATACAGTTGTTTTAGAAAGGCATAATACTGATACTGTAATTGAAAAGGTCAGCAGGTTAAGTTTGCTTTCCTGCAGCACTAAAAAATTCACCAGGTCTCCAACAGACAACGTTTAAAGTTTTTTTTCATTTAAGCTTTGGACTCTTTTTTTAATGTTCACAGTAACTACAAAGCCTCATCTGCTATAAACTGATATAAATTCCAGACAATAAGTTAGAAATTTACTTCTACTAGAGGTAAAAAAAAAAAAAAAAGGAAAACTAGACTGGGCAGACATCTCTAACCTCTAACCTTCTTCCTTTTACCCTCTGTCAGGCTCAGGAAAATATCCTTTATTGTTTTTATAAAAGCCTATTAAGTAGTAATATTAGTAAAAATTAGTGCTGTGTTCAAAAATCAGGATATGTGCTCAGTGAAAAGCTATATTTATGAAAGCATCGCTTCTTAAAAACACTGTTTATGCAGCCAGAAAGATATAGGTAGTTCCTGAGTACACTAATAGAGCTGAAAATAGTGCTCAGGTGGCAGGTATGAGTGACACAAAGATAATTTGCACAGGTTTTGAGAAGTGATATTGCAGGAGACATTGGGTGGCTCTAACATTTTGAGGAAGAACTTATAACTGGATGCACAGAGGGAGAGATGAGCAATAGTTCAGTTTGAGGAGAAGGAGATAGGTCGAGTAGAAAACAGGCTTGTCTGTTTTCATTACAGAACTTGTGCACGGTTGCAGCAGAGATTAACCCTGAAATAAGGCTGAATGGGAAAAGAGGAGGAGGTCAGAAACATGCATCATATTTCACGTCCCTCAGTACAAATCCAAACCCCTGGCTCTGTTGAGGCAGCTCCTATGAAGGGTATAATGGAGAGGGAGGAGCATCAGAAGCAAATATACAGTAACCAAGAATAAGGGAAGATGCCAAACAAGAGTATTGATTGATTAGTGTCTAAAGTATTGATGGAGGATATCAGAGTGCTCTCTGAACTTCATCTATTAGGCTGGTTAACACTTTGGTAAGGTGTCCTGTGGTTGGTGTCTCAGCAGGCTGAGCAGGACCTAAAAGAGCTGGAGCAAGGACATGTTGTTCATTGTCTCAGATGGAGAAGGGTATGAAGAGGATTACAGTGAAAGAGCAGAAGTTTGGGGCTTTTGCTTAGTGTAGACGTAGACTACTAAAAGCATTAGCTGGAATGCTCCGTTTAGAATGAATGGTAGAGAAAATGTGATACTATTTCAATTATTATTGCCATTTAATGTCGGATTTCTTGCAGTCATGTCCTTGAATAACCATTTCTTAACTAAAATGACAGAATTTTGTAGCCAGTGATCCACGACTTTAAATATTTGGAAGGGCTATTGATTCACTGAACTGGAAGAAATTAAAGATGTTGAGGCATATTTTCAAAACCAGAATTGCATGTAGTATCATATCTGATCATGTATATTCTCTTTACTACTTAAATGATATTTTTTTAAAAATGCTAGGCACATGTGATGCAGCATTCAATCTGCCTGTGATAGCCTTAACTAAACATTGGTGGTATTGTTTGAATCTTCTGTGTGTAATACTCAGAGAGCTGCTAGCACTTAAAGCACCTCCTCTTGTTCCCGTGTTGTGCTCCTCTGCATGTACCTATTTCTGCTTGTGGTAGTCATTCTCTCTAGGTAAATTGTCCATAAGACCAATGATTCCATCAGCAAATTACCCAGAAAATGCCGTCAGTGTGCATGGTGACATTTGTGCCACTGGTGTTTTGTTGCCATTTCAGTGGTCTAATTAAATTGGCAGTTTTCTCTTGTGCCCAGCATCGTTGTCTCCCTTCCTTTGGCACCTTACCTCAGACCTTCTCCTTTTCTCTGTCCTTTTAACTGAATATCAAATGCATTATTGATTGCTCCTCTTCCACCCTCCTCACTTCCGCTCCCCTCAACTTTGTTTTTTCATCTTTCTGTTTGTTTGTGTGATGGGCAGTATCATCCAGACAAGCAGAAGGCAGATGTGCCAGCAGGAGAAGTGGAGGAGCGTGTACAGAGGTTCATCGAAATCGATCAAGCATGGAAAATTCTAGGGAACGAAGAGACAAAAAAAGAGTATGACCTGCAGCAGCGTGGTAGGTCCCTGCCAAGGAATGCAGTAGTGGCAGCCGCTCTTTAAAAAAGCAGGGTCTGAGAGTGGTAGTTAGATGGTATTTTAAAATGCTGTTTATTGCTGAGCCAAATGTTTCTTTCACTCTTGTCCTGCTTTCAAATGTGGATCCATTATTTATAGCTTTTGCTACACGTACGTTAGTGAAAACACTGAATTACTTCCAACAAAACATTAGGTGGCGTTATTCCTAATAATTTGAACAAACATGAAATTTATACTAATTACAGACCTTTTTATTTTATTAAGGCAGCTTCATTAAGTGACCTTAATTTTAAGTCTTATCTTACATTTTGTTGCAGTATCTTAGGTACAGGTATTAATCCTTTTATACCTAGTATTTAATGTGTGTTTATAAGCACTTGAGAATCATTAAAGACACATTCTTTTCAGTTGTGTGTGTTATAGTAGCTTTCATTATTCATCTGTAGACTAAAACAGTCTTTTAAAGCAGGTTTATAAATAATACTCAGATATAACACATTAACTAGGCAGCTCTGGCATGCATTTCTTTTTATACCTCTCAGAAAATAGCTTCTTAAAACAGTGACAGGCTGTTGTGAGAAAGAAAGGGGGGAAATGTAGGTCAGGTCTGTCACACATGGGCTACCATTACATGAAGTGATAGGCTGTCTTTCTGCTCTGGCCTCAGGATAGGAGTCCCTCAGCCTTCCATTAGAACCTTCAATAAATGTATATCCACCCTACATGTTAATGGGGGGGAGTCAATAATAGTGTATTGCCTGTGGGGAAAACACTCAGTTGCACTCTGCAGTAACACACTCTGGTCCAGCATTGACGTGTAGCCACCATCACTTCTGAATGTGTCTGATAAAAGCCCACTGTCTCTGCAGCTTGTTATTGAATTCTCTTCCATTGTACACTGGCACACCATCAGACCCTTCTCTCTTGTGCTGATTTTTAACTCCCCTGCCGCTGCGGGTACCACAACTTACAGACAAAGACTTAGTCATTCTGGCAGATATGCATTACTGCTGGATAAAAAGAGCGATACATAATTGTATATACTTAGTATGAATTCTCTAGTTAGATAATCTTGTATTTCACACTTTGTGTGGGTTTTGGAAGAGAGGGTGGAGGGGTGAGAACAGAATCATAGAATAAATAGTTTAAAAGGGTGGGGAAAAAAATTGGATGTTGCGCTGATTTGTCACATAAACAGGATTAAGGTCAAACATAAACACATTTTCATCTCAAATTTATTTTTTAAATGCCTGAATGTGATGTCAGAAGAGGAATTTCTGCTACCCAGTGCTCTCATCCTATTGTACTCCTGGCACTGTCATATCAGCTGTGTCTTCCGTTGTCACAAATTGTACATGCACAGGAAAAAAGAAATATTAGAGGTCACGTGAGAAACCTTCTCTGTATCTAGTGATTTTTAAATAAAGCTTAAATACAGAGTTCCATTTCACTTGGGTCAAGTTAATCCACTGAAATTGAGAGCTACATCAAGATTTAGTAAGTAACTTTGTTTTCCCATGGAATATAAGGACATTACTATAAATTAGTTTTGACAAAACTCATTCCAAAGTATTTTAAAGGTTACCTATATTTCCTGAGGTTCTTTTGCATCCAGATGAGGTCTTCAAAAAGCCACTTGAAGATCCTATAAAAAAGACTTAGTAAATTAAGAAAACAAATTATTTATTTACACAGGTTTTTGGTAATGGAATAGATGTATTTTAATATAGAGGGTGCCATTCACAGGGGATCAGGTGTTTCAGACTAAGCCACATGTAACACGCATGTGCAGTATTGTTGCATTCTTTGCAGCGTGTTCCCTGGCAGCAAAATGATGGTGAAATAAATTCTGGTTCTTTGAATGCTTGTCAAGCTGCTTCTAAAGTCATGATTCTAGACTAAGTCGTAGACACTGCTGTAAAAGCTTACACAAACAAAGGAATGGAGACAGCAGCTAAGGGGAATAGTGATGAGGGAGATAATACAGCGAGCTAGTAGGACTGTGAGGCCAGGAAGCAGGATCTGAAGGATGCCAGCGTGCACATGTGCCTGGCTACAAGTCACTTGCACTGTAGTCCTCTTCCCAAGTCACAGATTATTTGTATTTACCTTCTTGTGTTATACTAACTAAATCTTAATTACTTGACTCAGAAACTCGGTGGCCAGAGACGTTCCAGGAAGCTGAAAGTGTGGGGCTCTATGGTTTTAATTTCCTGCTTGTTTGAATTGTTGAGAATAACAAGTGAATGTGCTTTCATACCTTAATAATGCTTTTCTTTGAAGGTATTGCTATGCTCTCCTACTTATTTCTCTGTGCCTTCAGGCCATAGTATTAAAGAGGAAAGGACAAACCCCAAACCATTTAGAAGTTTGGCTGAAATACTCTTCCAGGCCTCTCTGGTCTGGAAATTGGAGAACTGTCTTTTTCCGTTTTGTGAAAATATTTCAGTTCATTTCTTTGTCATATCTTTCATGACATATAAGAATACCCTGTTATAATGCTAAAGGGTTTTGCTTTCAGTCTGGGGGGGCAAGGGGGAGAGGCCAGAGAGAAAAAGTAAAACTTAGGGGGTGGAAAAAAAAGCTGCATAACAATTTACCTATTAAGAATGGACTTTTTTTTTTTTTTTTTTTTTCTCATTAGAGAATCCCAGACTGGTTTGGGTTGGAAGGGACCTTAAAGCTCCTCCAGTTCCAACCCCCTGCCATGGGCAGCAACACCTTCCACTAGACCAGTTTGTTCCAAGCCCTGTCCAACCTGACTGAATAATGAACAGAAAGGTTGCAATTAAAATTAAATCACTTAATGTAGCAAATAATTCAAAGGTAGTCATGGGATTAACACTAAAACCAGTTGCTCTGTATATGTTTTGGGGGCAGAGGGTGCAGAAATTTAAGAATCTAGGGAATCTTCCATGTATGGCTCCAGTGAGGTTCTATGCTGGATAATATGTTCTTACATGATGATGGACAGAGGTGTCCATAGAGCCTGGGTGTTTATAGGGTGGGGGTGTAATCACAAGGAGGAGTTTTCACATCTCAGGACATACCTCCTTTTCATTTTCACATTTGGAATTACATTTTTAGAAAAATATTACAGATGCATTTTTCATCCATGAATAGATATTCCAGCATCATTTTTTAGTTCTTGCTTCACTTCTTAGATTTCAAGGCCAGGCTGGATGGGGCTTTGAGCAACCTGGTTTAGTGGAAGGTGTCTCTGCCTGTGGTAGGGGGGTGGTTGGAAGTAGGTGAGCTTTAAGGTCCCTTCCAACCCAAACCACTCTGTGATTCTATGTGAGAAATTACAAGTCCTAACTGGAATTGCTACTGTTGCAGCTTCCACTGTTTGTGTCTGAGGAGTCTGGTTCCATCCACTACGTATCTTCCCTTTAGTCAGTGAGGCACAAGAAAGACCTTTAGTTAGGCTAAAATATCTGGTCACTAATTCAGCTTTCACTGGCAATACCAATCTTCTTTAAAACCTGAAAAAAAATCTTTGAGGAGCTGTCCTCACTCGAAGTTTCTGCTGCAGGTTTGGAAAGGGAGGCTTACACAGGTGTGGTCATAAAGTGGAAAAATGAAAACCCAAGCTAAAGAAACGGTAGCTGCTTCTCCCCCTGCTCCTTCCCTGTTCCTCTCCTAGTATAGTAAACTGAAAAGGCTGGTTTAGAGATGGTTGCTTCCCCATTGATCCATCATTCCCTCCTGCTATGGCAATAAAGTGATGATACTGTATTAGATACCAAGATACTTCACATAATGTGATAAATAGGATGCCAGAATAACCTTACAGATTCCCTAAGAGTAAGCAGGAGAAGCGAGACAAGAATCTACAAAAATGCTTTCAGTAGCAGGAATGGCAATTGAACACCTTCCCTACCTAATTATAAGAAAGGAAAACAATTAATGCAGCATAGTTCAGTGGTTCCTTGTTAAGAAAATTCCTTCTTTTAAAAAAAAATTCAGCCCAAAATAAAGATCTTCCCATGGCTATTACTTCAGGCTTTTAATTCTGCCAGGTGCTACTTGTGAAGGCACAGAAGTATGTATTCCTTCTCTAGCCATGGATTTTTAGGGCTGTAGACCCTCAGCTAGTGCTGGAACACAACCCTTGTTCATAGTTCTTTGGAGTTAATTCTGATCTGCACTGGCTACGAGTCAAGCAGTATTTATTTTATTTAACAAATATGGCTTTTGTTATGGAAATTCTTAACGCATGACTTTTTTATCGTTTGCAATTGAAGTAGGCATGGTTAGTTTGAATTAATATGAGAGACTAGAAAGTCAGTAATCATTTAAAAACTAAACAGTCTTTCAGAAGAAGATGACAAAGACATCCAGGTTTTGAGAACTGTGCAGATTTTGATACCGAGTAGGTACTATGGACAGTATTTGATTGAATATACGTATCTTGAACTTTTATGAATTTGAAGACTATATGACTGATAAAAAGCTAGAAAAATCTTTTAAGTATTGCGACTATTTTTAGTATTGCCATAAACTGTTAAAAGGGTGAAATTTCCACTCACTGCTTGCAACCCTTTCCCTAAAACTCTGCCTTAAATAGCCCAAGAAATATTTATTGTATCCTCAAGTGAAACTTAAATACCTTTCCTCTTTTACAATTTCTGAATGACCCAGCAAGGGCTCTAGTAAAGCTTTACTGAACCAAGCTGCTAATAGTTATTTAATGTTGTTCTTTAGCCTGAAAGAATCTCCGTAGATTTTTCCTTTTAATCTCTTTGAATTGCAGGCTCATAAACCTCTCTGATGAGCCTGCCAGTGTTTTCTGAGATCCTGCAGTTGAGACAATGGAGCTGCAGAATCCTTTCAGTTCTTGTTGTCAGACAAATCCAATAGATGGCAAAGCCAGGCAGGCTGTACTTGTGAATTAACATTTGTTTTTCAAGCTGTTGTAGATTACCAGGACTTCACAATTTCCCCTGTATGTACAGGAATGTGTTTTACCTAGTACAACTCAGTACACAGAGTTCTGCAGGTTGAGTAGGTGTCATGTGTGAGTAAACCTACCCTGTAACTCAGCACTGGTAGCAATACCAGTCTTAAATAACTTTCCTTCTGGCAAAGGAGTGAAAAGCAGATATAGGTTTACTTCACAGAACCACCAGTGAGAGAGCCCTGGTTGTAATAATAATGATAGAGATGAAATAAGGAAGAATATTAGTCACTAACACGCTCTGTGAAAACCATTGGTTTGCAGTTCTGCTTGTAAACTCTCCAAACTCACACTGGGCTGTGCCTCTCTCTTTAAATAAGTGGCTGCATCTGTTTCTGCTGGGTTCTGTATTTAATGGGTGAACTAGAAAGTAAAGCTTTGCTCAACTCTGGAAAGTAAGCTTCTCCTGCCTGCATGAGGGAAGCAGATAAATGCAGCATATAAAACTGACTGACGAGGGTTACTGGATTATGTGCTGAATTTGGAGACTTACTCAAGTCAAGAGTACTAATTAACAGTTCACATTTTTTGAGATGGCCCATAAGCCAGTTGTCTTTCAGACTGGAGCATCAGACTGGGAATAACAATCTCAGTTCAGTCTGGGAATTATGTAATTAATTTTGCTTATTTATTTTTTCTTTTCAAAATTACAACTGCAGTAGTGAATTAGAAAACCTTGGTTGAAATTCTGCTCCCAAGCCTTAATATTGTACTATGTTTGGAAGAGAGTATAGATTTTCCCATAGCTTTCCTCTTCATTACTTGAATGGCTGAACCTAAATGATTCAATGATTTGTGAGTAACTTTACTTCAAGCATAATAACCTCATCAGCTTGCGTTTTACCAGTTCTTTGCTGAGCATATGGTTCACCTGCCCTTTTGCATTTCCTACCGGTAAGACATGACCCAGTCCTCCACCTCCAATCCTATATAACTTGTTCTATGTGAAATCCCACTTTAAGACTTAATATTTGACAGTTGGGGTTTGTTTTGTTTTGTGTTTTTTTTTTTTTAACTGGCCTTAAATGTCTAATTTAAAACCCCAAATGTATTAACTTATTAACTCTTTGCCACACACATACATAAGATTTAGCTAAAATGCAAAGGGTTCATTTCACTACTGGCAAGTTACATTAATACTTCCACCTATGATACTCTGCTCTGATGGAGCCATGCACTCCTTTGTTGTAAATTAGGAATCTTACTTGCACATAGCTTGCTTTACATAGTTAATGTGTGAAATCAACCGATAGTTAATTAAGCCAACTCATATATGTCTCTTCCGAGTCACTATGTCACTGATAACTCATCCCACATTTGGTATCATTTTTTGGCAGTTTTTCTGGGATATTAGCGGAGGAGATAGCTGCAAGGTCCCTTTTCAGTCCAGAGAAAAGAGAAGCTACATAGAAGAAGCTCGGAAACATTTAGAATACCCTACAATATAGTGATTAGGTTGGGAATTAAAATAACAAAACAATCTGGGCCTCTGCCTTTTTCAGCATGTACTTTCACTGCCAACTGAATTTCCACAGAAAGCTGTAGACAATACCACATGCTCTAGAAAGCTTGATGTTACCAAACTTATCAATCGTAGATTCACTGCTTCAAGAGATGGAGCACCTACTTTCTCAATAACAACTCCATTTAAACTTTAAGTAAGTGCTAAGCTTTCAAGTCAAAATCTAGGGCATTTCTGTGTATGTGCTAAAGATGCTTTTAGGTATTTTTGGTTCTTCAAAATGCAGCATTTGGGGAGTTGGACCTTACAGGCAGCAGCTGGGAGGTTTTGTGTAGCAAATTGTAAGGGGTTTCTGTCCTTTACTGTACACCAAATATGAATGTGCTGATAAATTGTTTACTGGGGGGAGTTTACTTGGCTTCCCCTTTCTAAAGGAGAATGTGTTGCCTAAGAGGGGTTGTGGGGTCTCCATGTGTGGAGATACTTAAAATCTAACTGTCTGTGATCCTGGGCAGCCTGCTGTAGCTGACCCTGCCTGTGCAGGAGGATTTGATCTTGAGAAATGCCTTCTGACCTCAGCCATTCCCTGATTTTGTGACAGGTACAGGTAAGCAGGCGTTCCCAATTCCAGCTTGTGGAGTTGTAGTTACAGACAGGCTTTTAAAAGGTTTTATCAAAACTAAATTTTGTTCCTAGTTCACATAATTGTTTGGGATGTGTGGAACTGCTGTTTTCAGTCATGCCTTAATTTCAAGAATGTGGCTTCACCTTTTACTTCTGGGTACAGCAGAACATTTTTCAGCTTATGCAGAGACATGGAAACTAAAGTTTTAGAGAACTGCATTTTTAATTGACTCTCTAGTAGGAACCAGACATGACTGCTGGGTATGTAAAACTAGTCATTGATCAGGAAGAAATAAGGATCTGTTGTTATCAGGGTTGAATATGTGCCATGTTTTCTTTATAGAAGATAATCTGACAAAAGAATGGCCACTACATGCACAGATTTCCCTTGAGGATATGTCCTGGAATGAAGGTACGAGTGCCTTAATACTTGTTCCCAGTGCCTTTCACTGTCACTGCAAAAGTATTTTTTTTTTTTCCTACATCTTATACCATCATTTTGTCTCTAAGTTCTACTGTTTTGTATTTTCTCAGCTTTTTAGCTGTTCTGTTCTCTATGATTACCTGAATTGGAACTTAAGTTTCTGTGGTACTTATCTTGCATTCCTCCTCTATTTCCCTGCCCCACTTGCAGTACCACTTTTCACTTAGCTCTTTCCTTGTTGTATAATTGAGTGGTTAGATTTCCAGATTCTTCTCAAATCTCTTGTGCATCTTTTGGCTCTATGATGGCAAAATTTCAGGTGTTTTCATACAGATTTTTTTCTAAATATTTTTGTAATATCTGTGTGTTACTTCCCTCATGATACTCCAGCTTTTATCATTTATTTGCTTTTTAAATTAATGGCTGAGGGTGTTTGGTTTTGGGGATTTTTTGTGTTTGGTTTTGGGTTTTCTACTGTTTCTTTAAGCTGTGAGGGGAAAATCCTGTCAGCTTTCCTTTCTTCTGTTTTACATCTGTTTTCTGGGCTAGCATTCTGGTTTGGAACCATCCTTGATCTGTTGTTATTTCTGACTAACAGCCCTATTTTTTTTCTCTTAATATCTGTTTCACTGATGTGCACCTTTTTATTAATTGCTTTTGTAGAGAGACCACATTGACCCTGGCTGGCTGGTGTAAGAATACTTCACAGTCACTGAAACAGTTTAAGAGTAGATTTATCTTTTGAGCAATAAATGGTACCCCAGGTACCGATACCTACAATCCAGCAATGAGAGGTCATTTGTTATATTAAGATCAGCTTTGTGAAGAAAACCCAGAATAAGTTCTTTATTCTTCTAAAGCACTAAAGGCTTTTTTGTTTTCTTTTTGGCAGATGAACAATGTTACACTCTCCCATGTCGATGTGGTGGGAAATACACTGTCTTCAAGAGTGAAATCAAGGACGTATCTTTGGTTTGTTGTGACACATGTTCACTCGTAATCGAGATCCTTCAAAGACTGTTTCCATCAAGCACATGAAGAGTTACAAATTTGTAAAAAGACCGGACAAATGGGGGACAGCATCTGCTAAAGGAATGTATGTTAAAGAAAAGGGGACAGGAATAAGTTCAATTAGGCTTAAGAAAGGAAACATGCACATTAGCTAACATAGCTCTGCAGATATGAGGCTTGGTTTTCCTTCTGCAGCTAAAGAGCTAGTTAATAAAAACCTCCAGAACAGAACACTGAGTTCTGTACAACGGTAATATATCTCATGATCTAAAGGACATTTCTTTCCTAGTAAACAATGGAGTAGCTTCTTTCAGTCTCAGTCTGTATCAACTCTACCTCAGGTCCCACCTCTTAGGTTAAATCCTTTTAACAGCTCAGATGACAAAATTTAATTAGCAGCCATAGATGTGAGAATGCTTTGAACATAATAAAAAGTAAGGTGCATTAATGGGAACATTTTCTATTTCCATATTAAATATTTAACTTCAGTATGGAAGTCCTCAGAAGGACTTGAGCCTTGGAAAGAGGTGGCAGAGACTTGCAGCTCAGGCAGGCTGATTCTCTTAGTAATACGTAGCAGGTCCAGTGGCTGTGCACATCTGACAGTGCATCTGCACTGGCTTTCCAGCTTGGAGAAGGAGCAAGTTTTGAACTCACTCTCTCCATCTTGAACAAATGCAGCCTTCATTCCTTAGGTAAAAACTAAAGAGGAAGCCGGGCTCTGACCCCTACAAGGCACACAGGCCTCTGGGTAACTAAACCCTACAAAACTCCTGTGAGCAGATCCAGAACCCCCACCATTACTGTTTTCAGTCCTAATCCTAGCAGACCACACTACTTCCTACTGTAGGCACAGCCTATGTGCAGCTCTGGGTGCATTGTGCCTTTTTCATCCCTTGTTAACAGTCAGTGCTAACCTTGGCTTGCAGCAAAACCCAAATCTTTCTAATAAATTCAAGCACTTACTGTAAACAGACAGAGGAAATGGTAAGAGGCAGGTTTTGTTGATGACAGCAGTGTATCATTCCCACTTTCGTTAGATGTAATCTCAGAAAGAGACCTCCTTATCAAGTCATACTTGTGTTTATTCTAAACAAAAACAGTTTCATTAATTTTAGTAGAAAATACTAGGAAAGCTGGCAGTAGTCACTTAAATCCTTTAATCATCCAGAAATCTATGGCCATTGGGGCTTGCACGTAGAAATCCGAAGTCATTCAGAGGCCATATCTGTGAAATAAAATACAGTTATAAGAAATTTTAATCACCACTCAAAAGTTCAGTTCAATGTTGTAATCATTTTATTAACTATAATTTTTTAGCTTTTTGGGTGATGGTATGTGAACTTCTCTCACCTGCATGTTTCCTTTCCTAGAAGTGACAAATGCTGTATATCAGGAGGAATCATCATTCCATGGCAGCCATAGACAACACTAATTTATTCACAGTGTGCTTTACTGGGGCCTCACAAATTACAATATTCTTTCCAGTCTTTGAAATAAATACATTCCTAGAATGTCTTTTGAATTCAAAGTTTTCTAGCTTGTAAACCTCTTAACTTAAAAGACAGAGTATGTATTTTGATCCATCTAGGAGAAGGATACCACAAAGGTTACCTCTGGATGGGCATTTGGACTACAAACACCAGACCCTGGAATAAAATTCCACAGGCTTGTAGATAAGCTTATCCCATACAAAAAGGTGTAAAAGGGTGGAGTGCCTGACACCATCAGGGGCTCTTCAACCAGGGGGGGCTCCTCTGAGAAGGGGACTGCTATGTAAAAAAGGAGCACAAATCATGACCAAGTATAAGTGTCAGAAAATGATGCTCACCAGCAAGAGAAAAACCTTCTCTTCAGAAATTACCTGTATAGCCGTTCATACACCTGAACGTTCCCAGGAGTACTGTGCTCTCAACATTCACTAATTACATGTAGGCTGGTCTTGGATACAAAACAAAAGAAAATAATAGGGAATCAAGGACATTCTTTTATGCTTTGTCCTTTGTCTCCCTTGACTGTCTGTGTCTCCTCGCAACACTTGTTTCAAAGGTGGCACAAGGGGATAGCAGGAAGAAGGGAAAGAGATGATGCTGAAGAATGAATGCCCTCAGTGACTCTAGTCCCATAAAAATCACACAGCCACTGCTCAACATGAAGTGATCTAGACAGAGAAAGAACTCTTTAACTGAGTTCATGGAACAGCCACAGTACAGAAGGAGTCTTAGATTTGTTTTAAGTATTGTTTTGACAATTTCATTTCAAATTCATACAGTAATCTTAGTGGTAGAGTTAGAACAGAAATGATGTTTTATCTAGTCTGCACGCAGGAGAGAATGTGAGAAACAGTACTAGTGGTTGGAAATAAGATGGAACAAGCCTCTTCTGTGAAACAAAGACATGCTGCTGTGTGTAGTAATTTGCAAGTCCAAGTTATAACAGAAGTTGACTGTGGCTTATTTGTTCAAACTGGCTAGTCCAATTAGCAGTTATTTCCCCTTGCCTTCATTGGTTTGGCCTACATATATTTGATCTGATAGATGGGGGATGAATGGGGCTAACTAGCTCTTTTGAAGATACACGACAGGTCCATTTTAGACATGGAGCCTAAGCCCAGGGAATGCACCAGATCTCCTACCTAGGGGAGGATGAAGCTCGAATTCTGTCACTGTGGGACTCCCTCAGCTTCTACTGAATCTGCAGCAGCCTTTTCATGGAATTAGCTAACCTCTCAGAGTGGCATGGAGAAAAAGGGGCAAATATAATTAAATGTCATTAGTTCTGATTGGGTTAAACACTGGCGCACCAATGCTGGCTGCAAATCTTAGGTCTGAACTTCACTGGTAAGCCACACAGAGTATTACCATTTATGTTTTGCCAAGAATAGGATGCCTGAACAAGCCTGGTATAAGCTTACTCTCTTCTATCGAAATCCATGACTTCCAAATAGATTTGGGTTTTTGCATACATTACTGAAAACATAACTTAGCATCGAAAGCCACTGTTATTATCTTCTCCTCCAGAATGCACTTTAAGATGAAGTCACATAAGCTTCCATTCTGGAGGCAGTAAAAGATTTTACATGAAGGAGAAGCTAAACACCTAGCAGACTACATTAAAAACACATGTAGGTTTCTTGGCCAGTGGTCTCGTTAGCTTCCACTATGCGGACTGGCTGTGTTCTGCTGCCTTTCAATCTAATGTTCAGCAGCAAGACGTAAGAGCAAGATCATTGTATTCTAATGTGAATTAACATCAACAATCCAAATTATAAACACTCATCTGAAGAACAAACTCATTTTTGCTTTTGTTAGGCACCATATACTTAAATCTCATTAAAATTTTAATAATCGCTACTCTGTGCACTGTCATAAAATAGCTGCTATAAAATTTGCTTAATTATTTTGATTAAGTATCAAGTGATTGTGTACTATCTTTTTAAACAGACAATATTCTAGAGTCCTAAAGCACTTCTTCAGTATGGAATATCTGCGTGTAAGTTCCACTCATTTTACAGAGTTTGCTGTGTGCTAAAATTCAGGGTTCAGTCTCATCAGTCACTTCACTCAAGTCTCAAAATTACAGCTGTCCACAGACACAGGTTCTTAAGAAATAATTTGGTAACAGTCCCCTTAAAGTAGTAACCAGTTGTTTTTTTCCATACTAGTGTATAGTCAGAAACTTTTTTTTCAGTTGGATTATTAATACCACATTTTCATAAAGAGGGCCATCAGCATATTAGCATCATTTGTATTTTAGCAGTTAGCAATCCAAGCTAAAACCTGGGTCACACAAATAGCCATATTAGAATCAGTGTTCTTCCTCTGGTGTACACGGTTAAGGCAAACAATATAGATTACGAACAGAGAGCACTCAGTAAACACTAGGGAAGAACTCAAGGCAACTGCTATCCAGACAGAACAGAGATCAGACAGAACTTGGTGGTGGTGCTGAACAGGACATGTTATTTGAGGTTTAGTAAACAATTAGTGAGGTTATTTTGAAAACTTTCAAGTTTTGTTCATTAAAACTGTAAATTAAATCTATAAATATTAAATTGCATGTAATACAGCTGTGCTGAATTATGTGTTTGTGGCTGTGTTTCAATATATGGAGAAGAGGTTTCAAACCCTTTTTCTTATTCTAAATGGCACCATTTTAAAGCTAGCTTTCTAAAAGCTGGTGCATAAGTCTGTAATACAAACTCCCTTTTTCATTAGATTAAACTTTTTATGGAGAGGAAATTGTGTTAGTTTCTTCTTTTTGGTAAATGAGAAAAATTAATAGGGCAGATAATATGAAAAAATAATTTAGTGTGAAGTAAAGCTGTAGAACTGTTGAAACGGAGGAGAAACTGTGGAGGTTTAGACAATCCAATTTTAATTCAAAGCTTTTTTTTTCTTAAATACAAATGTGGTGGACAATTATGGTGGCAGAGATTTGACTTTACTGTTAAGGGTCTTTCACAGATTTAGTTTAAGTAGCAGCAAGGCTAGTCTACCTGTCTAAAGTGTACGAAGGATAACCTTACCCTCCATTTTGTATTTTGAACTATGCTTTCCAAATTATAGCAGTGAAATACGGAGCTGCCCTTTCCTACCATTTTGCAAAGGCAAGGATTGAATTAAGGTTGGAATGTACATCTGTGCAGTAGGGTATATGGGGGGAGGAGATTATGGGTGTGTTTTTATCAGGTTTGGATGTGCTTGCAAAACAACTCATCTATTTTCAGAGGCAGTTTCAGCTCAAAGAGTGCTGCTCAGAAAAACCCCCACTGCCACTGAATTATCCTTTACAGCAAGTGGCCACTGTGCTCAAGCTTTCCTTCACATTTCTTTGGCCAGCCAGTTAGGGAGGTAAGTTTTAAATACCTAACAGGAACTACAAATGCAACTGTTTTTAGATACTATAAATATAGATACCTTAAACCAAATGCGTCCTCTTATCAGTCCATAAGGAACAGGTCCATAGCACCTGGAATCTGTAGAATTCCTGAGATTATCACCTTCTAACCAAACATGTCCTTTAGGCACCTATGATTAAGCAAGATTGCAATGTAAAAAGATAGAACAGAATGGTGTTGAGCACAGTTTGCCTTACAATGTATTTTCTGATTTCTGTGTTCTGTATTTCATGACTGTATAAGGAACTAGTTTTTTATTGAATCTAGTGCCAGATCTGGAGGGTGGAGTGCTCCAAAGTATCTGTTTTATCATGTGCTCAAAAACCAATGGTTTGCAACAAAAAATCCAAAATGAAGATGTAAGAGGTTAGAGCAGTGTGACAGGGTCATTAATTTAATAGACTTCAAAAGAGGTCATTAGGATGTTGACTGAAAATCTGCCCTCCTGTCGCAGTAACAGCATGAACAGGGCAGCCACACACTCATCAACATCCTGGGGCCAGCACCAAGGCTAGACCTGTTAGTAGAGTCATGATGAACTAACTGGTAATTGATTGTGACATCAATTACGAATAATCTCATCATTTTATCGGAGTAGGCTTGTCAAAGTTCTAATTAAGATCACAGTTCATTCTATGTGCAGGCAGAATCCACAACACATTATATTGCAATAATGATGATCACAAAACAGCAAATCCCTTTTCATAATTTGAAAATTAATGATGGTGACCTTATACTATATGACAAAGACCTTTCATTGCCTATATATATGTTATACATTAACTATGTAAGATACCATAGATTGATGGCAGTCACTGACTGACTCAAATGACAGAGAAACATGAGAGTATAAAGCTTTCATATATGAGAAAGTTGTTAGAGTCTTAAACTAAGATTTCCTCTTTAATTAATAACCCCTTACAAGTGACCAAATAAAATAGTAATTATTTTTCTAATCTGTTTTTGTTTCTAAAATTCTAAATTGGGCTGAAAATTTAAAAGTAGCAACATTTTCCCAAGGTAGGTAATATTTAAAATGGACTTCAGGTTAACATACATTTTTCCAAAACCATGTACTTGAAACATTACTATGCCCATAATTCAGAGAAAAAAACGTGGAAACAAAAAAGCAAATAAAACTCAAAGTTTGAGCAGTATAAACATGAATGGTTTAGAAATAAGCCACATGGACTTGTAAATACCATAGTCTACATAGACAGAATTCAAGGATAATAGATAAATTAAAATAAATAAAAGTAAAATTAAAATAAAATACCACTCCAGTAGTGAAATTTGGCTGTAAACCATTAAGAATAAAATCAGGCTCCCCAGAAAACCATTTGAGGAGAATGCAGCTGCAGTGTAATTGTTTGTACTTGCAGGTATTTGGCCAGGTAATGCTTTCGGGAACCTTGTCTTTAAATGAGCCTTTTAGGCTTTTGCTTAGTGATGCTCCTACCCATCTGTTACCATGCTAGGATGGTAACAGATCACATCACCCTGGAGTCCCTTTGTTGAGCTGTAGCAAGTGTACAAGCTGCAGATTAAGACCCAATAGTTTGTCTCTTGACAGTTCCAAAGAGAGGTACTCATGGTGGAAAGCACATGCAAGCCTGTCCATCTTCTCCCAGAAACCCCCTGAATTTCTCTGGTATCCAGGAGAGGGGTTTCAGTATGTCAGAGGGCACACATCCCTGCCTCAACATTTTAGAATCTCTATGTATGACCAGCACTATGCCCAAAACCCTTTTGAAACCTACTGATACTGTTTCTTTCCACAGGCTCCTGTATAAAGGAGGGGTGCCTTGTTTGTTTTAAACTGATCTGTTTGTTTTGTCAAGGTCCTCTGCTTCTTGTTTTCCCAGTCCTTCAGTACAGGCATTCCACATTGGGCCACCTTTCTTTTTTTGTAGGCTTATCAGATTGCTAATGTGTGCACAGAAGAGCATCCTCTGGGAAGACCAGCTGATTTCGGGGAGATGACTTTTGAGCCTCCTCCTACTCAAGCAGCTTTGCAAACAAAATAACCAGCCAAAAGTCAATTTAAAATAAATAATTTTTAAAATAGTTCAGTCACATGTGAACATAGGGTTTTGACACGTCTCTGTTAGAGAATGCGCTGCCATTCTGTATTCTTCAGTGTGTGGTATACAGTTGATTTCAAATGTCCAGCAGCTACTGTTAGGTTTGTTGGATATTCATTATTTGCATTGTACCCAGTGCAATAGGTGTGTATTAAAACATAAAGCAGCATTCTGACCTTTCTGTTGCAAACTCTCCAGCATCTACCAAAATTACAAATCATGCATCAAACTACTGTTACTTTGAAAGACTATCTCAGCAAATATACCAAAAGGAGAAGCATAAATTACTATGAAAGGAAGACATATTTTTTTTTCAGTGAAATAAAAAAGCAAACACACATTAACATTTCATGTTTCCGAAATAGCCTTGTGTCTTGCCATGTGCTGCTGTTTCACACACAGGACACAATCAGGTCCCCTTCTACTTTACTGGTTCCCATGCTTTCTCACCCTCCCCAGTTCTGGGCAGAAGGTGAAGCTCATCTCTTATTACGTGAAATAAGGACCCACTCAACATAAGTATATCCAAACACTTCTAGACCTCCCCATCATTGTTACATGCTCCATAAGTGTAAAAGAATAAAATCAATTGCTTTTGCCTGCTGTGGCTATCACTTCCAATATGACGAATAATTACTTGCCTAGACAAGACGTTCATAGATTGCATTCCAAATGCAACATTTGCAATAAAGTATAAACCTATATCCTGAAATTCACCACTTACAGTAACTTCTGTAGTTCTCCATGGAAGGTATGACGGGACCCTATACCTCTAAATTTGTCCTAAAGAGTACTGTCACAATGTATAATTCATCTAGAGATAATACAGTATAATACCTTTGTATGGTGCCTGTCCATGATCTAAGCACTTCACTACAACCTAAAAATAAGACAAGTAATAAAAATAAGATGAATTAGATGAAAATGTAAACCAAATACCAGTGACAAGCCATAATCATTGATTATAAAAAAAAAAATGTTTACACCACTTTGAAATAAACACTAAAGCCAGAATCCTTCAAGGCTTTATGCACCAAACTGTGTCTGGACCACATCACTGATTTCAGTAGGATTACTCACATTGAACCAAATTAACTTTGAGTATCAACCTTTGCAAAGTCAAGACCCAGTCCAAAATGCCTTAAAGCCATACAAGCACAGAAGTCAGGAATAATATCAATTTTTAACCAAAGGAAAAAAAAATGTGGAAAACTTGTATATTATAGTAAGAGTATATTAATTACATACCGACAGGCTGCTATTGCCAGAAAAACCCCAAGCAATGGGAAAGCCACCTCCTTGACAATACACAACACTGCATTTTGGTACCTACAGGCCACAGACCTCTCAAACCAAGTTAATTGTATCTAAAAAGTACAACTGAAATCATAGTTCCTATTACTACACTCCAAATGATTGTGATGACAAGAAACATTGACAAGAGTGCCAAAATCATTTACCTTGGGCTGGGCAGCATTTCTGCTCCCCCTCACACACAGACCAGAACTAAGATGTGAAAGCCTCACAAGCCCAACAACTGAACTGTCACATAACTAACTAGTGGCTCACCTGCAAAACCAGCAGTGCCAAAGCAGCATGGGTGCACATGAAAACATTCTGCCTCTGACTGCCTGCAGACTGCTCCCTTTGCCTTTGCAACCACTGTGCCTCTGGTTTTGTGCAGATTATCTGAGGATTTACTTCCAAGGAACATCAGTTCTCAGGCAGAACCGGTTATCTGAGGTGCAGCTCATATGCATGAGAATACAGGACACTGATCAGACACATGACTTTTCCAGGTTCTCCCTTCCAAGGCTCTGAGGGCTCTAGTACAGGAGCAGACAGACCAGAAGAGCAAGATTATAATTTAGAACAACTCAACCCATAGCAGTAGTTTATTCTCTTTCAGCTCAGATAGATAAAAAAAGCATCTTTCACTGACAAACTGGCTAAAGTTGCAAGGCTGTTGCATTTACTCAATGGCAGTTAAAGCAGCAAAACTGAAGTACAGGTCAGGTGTTTCATACATACTTACTAGCATAAAACATTAATTTACATAAATGGCCAGGGAGAAGTCAACAAAGAATCATATACTTTCGGTCTTTTTACATGCCACCAAACTTCAAGTAATCTCGCTAACTTCAAAACCAAGAGATGAGATGCTTCTACTGCATTAATTGGCACACTAGAAAACTAATATACTGCAAATAAAACTATTAGATTATCTGTCTCAAAAGTACCTCAAACTAAATGAAAACAGGCTTCTATGATTTAGGTTGAGTTTTGGCTTTTGGCTGGATTCGGTTTGGGATTATTTTTGGTTTGTGATTTTGGGGGACACAGGTACTAAAGATGGAGAAACAGGGATTTTTAATAAATAAGTGGAAAACTATAAACATGAATCTATCCATTCAGAATTCTAAGCAGCCTGTGTTTGTCAGAGAACATCAGCTTGTACAATCAGCTGGGAATAGATGAAGTTTGAACTTTCATAAGGTCACAGGTATTCACATCACCTCCAGCAATATCAAAGTTTCAAACTTAAGAAGAACTTTAAATCATTCCCATCTTTTCAGTTCAGAGGCTTCCTTCTTGAGCTACGATAAGAACTAATCTCAGTGCTGGACAAAAGAATAAAGTCTGCAAGTTCTCATCTATCCCTACTAAGGTCTATTTAAGTGCCTCCTACTTTGGTACAAGCAACAAATGTAATTGCTTCATGGCCTGCGGGTGTTCAGTTAACAAAAGAAGCTTTTGTGAATAAACCACAGGTGTTACCGTTCTTGATTAAAGTGAAATATGATGAAAGAATCTACAATATCAAATGACAAATTTACTAAATACAGATTAAATTGCCTTATTTAAGTAAATTGCATCTAGTTAGGATAAAATATACACCATAGAAATGCAGGAGTTTATCACTCTATGCTTAAAGTCTCAAACTGTTCCTTAATCCTTTATTTATTAATTCAGAACCAAGAGTGAATAATGCTTAACAGATACTCCTTTTTAATGATCCAGTTGCTGAAGCCACCATTTCTATAGG